GGGTAGCCTCCTCTGCACCCTGGTGACATACCCCTATATCCAGGAATGTTTTTACTACATTGGCAGGGTGTTTGGGATCATTGTCATGTTGAAAAATGAAGGTGTTGCCAATCTGATGCTTTCCATATGGTACTGCATGATTCTTAAGAACATGACCATCCGATACTGTTCATGTGCAAGAACGTCTGGCTGCTTGGAAGTAAGAAATGAAAGGTGGTTTAAGGTTTTTGCGCAGTACTGTGAAAGCAAAATTACTGTGGGGCAAGATTGTTTTAAAGTAATACTGAAATACTGTACTCATTTATCTATAGACGCTTTCAAATGTGTCTGTTTTTCTATATTAAGTGCTGCCTTTGTCTTTTTGTCAGCTTTATTGTTTCATCTCTCTCGACCTCTACTTCCTCTGAACAGCTTTTTGATTGGTTTGTTCGCAGTGCATTATCAGAAGAGGAGAAGACGTCATTGCGTGCTGGTCTAATCACAAACTTCAACGAGCCTGTCAATCAGGTGAGCAGGGAAAATAAAGAGGGAGAGGGAAATATCAAATCAAAATCAAAATCAAATCACTTTTATTGTCACATCACATGTGCAGGTACATTGGTACAGTACATGTGAGTGAAATTCTTGTGTGCGAGCTTCACAAGCAACAGAGTTGTGCAAAATACAATAACCTAAACAAGCAAAATACAAGAATGGCTACATCTGAAACTAATAAATATATGTACAATATATAATAGTATATGCATTTCTGGATGTGTATACTAAATATTTTTCTGTGTGTGTGTGTGTGTGTGTGTACACATATTTTACAAATTAAATAGAGTAAACAATAAATAAAATATATAAAAATATACAGAGTTGAGACATGTGCAAAACAGTGGCATTACTGTACAGTATGGAGTGCATAATGTTGAAGTTCCAGTAGTGAAGCTGAGGTGTCTATGACGTGTTCAGCAGTCTGATGGCCTGATGGAAAAAGCTGTCTCTCAGTCTGCTGGTACGGGACCGGATGCTGCAGAACCTCCTTCCTGATGGAAGTAGTCTGAAGAGTTTATGGCTGGGGTGACTGGAGTCCTTGATGATCCTCCCCGCTTTCCTCAGGCACCGAAATAAACATGTTTGATCATTGTATACTGATGAATAAAACACTGATTTTGATTGAAGTGCTTTTATCAAAACCAGATAAGTTACAAATGATCTGACTGACAGCATTAAGATTTTTTAGGCTGTCACAATGCGACTCCATAGAATGAGATTTGAAAGTGATGAAAGCTGCTAATTTTGCATACTGGAACTTTATTTGAAGTTTCTTGATAGACATTTTTTTGGGGGGCTGTGTGGGGAAGGTTACAACAAACAAATAATTCAGGAGTCAAGCAGCGTAATACATCTGTCCCAGGGGGTACGTGGAACTTGGCCCTAAATGATGGCCATCCATCTTGGTTTCTACAGGTTGTATGTCCCTGTGGGACAGCTCTCGAGCATCAGGACTGATCGGGTCCATATGGCAAGCAATGAATACGATTTGGACACCATATGTCTCTCTAGTTACAGCCTCTCGTGGAGTCCAAATTTCATGAGGGTGCTTTATGCTTGTGCATGAGAGAGTGAGTGTAACTTGTGTACAAATTGACTTACTGATGCTTGTGAGGATGCAAGTTTAAATACTTAACTGTGTACTGCAAGACATTCTGAGATAAATCTTTTATACAACCATAAGAACAAAAACTCACGCAAGGTTTTCACATTTAAAAAAAAAAAGGGAAAAAAAAGAAGCTATTTGGAGTGTGTTCAAATAATATAAAGAGTTTTGATTTTTATCATAAAATGTCCATTAAGTCTTGAGGTATAAAGTGTCTTTTTCATTTTGAGCTTGAAATTAATCTCGAAGTATTGAGTGTCTTACCGGCAGTTTGTGTTGGAGTAATGAGTAGACTTGAGCGATATTTGCTCAGCTGTTGGGCTCAGTGGAAAGCCAATTTAAAAAAAAAAAATATGAGAAGTGAAGCTGTTACCAGATCATGTGATGCACATTGCAGATATAGCTCAGGCACAAGCACTCTATTTTAAAAATCAACTTAATCCATGCAACTGATTCCCTATCTGTCACCAGATGCATGTACTATGTACACTGTGTTGACTGTAAAAAGTTTGATATTCTGTGTCCTATTTGTTCGAGCTACTTATTTTTAAAAGAGAACTACGTAATAAAATTCCCATCAAGTTTGCTCCACCTTCTGCTGTGTTTATGCTTTGCCCCTGGTCAACTTCTCTTTCCTGCATGTATTTTTTTTTTTCTCAACAGATAGCAACCCAGATCGCAGTACTGATAGCCAAGGTGGCCCGTCTGGACTGCCCCAGGCAATGGCCAGAGCTCATCCCCATTCTGCTCGAGTCTGTGAAGGGTCAGGATGGCCTGCAGCAGCACAGAGCGCTGTTAACCTTCTATCATGTCACCAAAACTCTAGCATCCAAACGACTGGCGCAGGACAGACGGCTTTTTCAGGATGTAAGTCCACAATATTAGCTGGTCCAGTGTTGATACAAAATTCTATTACAACCTTTTTGTTCTCCATTGCTTCTTTAGCTGTGTTTTGCTCTTTATACATCAGTTGTATATACCTGAATAAAAGGTTATGTTAGGTAAACAGTGAAACTTTCTGGATTTTTATACGTTGCAGGTTGCAGACTCCTGCTCTCTGCAATATAACTTTTTTTTCTTTGTTGCTATTTTTTTCCTCCTTCAGAAGATTTTGAAAATGAATAGATGAACACTAAGATTATCCTGAGACTTTTTAGGTTTTGTCTCTACGAGATGCTGTTTAGCTTCTGTTAGAAGCATGTTAAATACAAGATTTATAGCAAAAATATTCCCTTGTCATACATGACTCAAGCATGGTTGACTTGTTTAGAAATGGTTATCAGCGTTTCCGTGTCTTTGTTGATATTGCGTTGAGACAAATTAACTTTTGAGTAAGTATTTCTGGTGTTTCTGGTGAATACAGTGTACATTATACAATATTTTTCTTTCATGCTTGATTTAAATTTGAGTTTAAAAAAAAGGCCATTTGTGGAGAGAAAGATTTTAGAGGAATGAGATGATCAAGCAGAGGGAAGATGGAGACCAACAGAGGGTGAAAGGACATGAGAGCAGTGGCTGAGACCAAATAGTTGGATGCCAGGCAGAGGCGTCCTGTATGCCAAAATTTCTGCCCTTAGGCAACACAAGAAACAAAGGCAGCCTGAGCCCCCATTAAACAGCGCACTCATTTAATGATGCACTGATGACTTTGACACTGAAACTCCTCTCTTCCTCCTCTCCTCTTTTTTCCTCTCCTCCTCCTCTCTTCTAATAATCATGTGTATACTTTGTCATACAAACATTTTGCTTATGCTGTAATTATATTCTTGGATAGTAATTGGATAGTAATTCTAAGACTGGTAACGCTGCTGAAAGATTAAAAGTATCACTGTAGTGTTGGAGGGCCATTAGGGAGAGAAACTAATTCAGAAATCGGGTTCGCCTTAGGACCTTACAGACCTATACTTAAAGGCACCTTAATAGTTTTTAATTTTTTTATGTTCTTTTTGATTCATGGGGTAGAAAATGCAAACGGCAAGGATGTACTAGTTTTTTTTTACACAGATGTAGCACAACAAGGAATAAAAAGGGGGATAAGAAGGTAGACTACAATGCACCTGTCGACTGGAGTAGGTTGTTATATTTTTTGAATGTCTGTAACATTTGGAAACTGTGTATTGACGCTTTGATGCGATTTACCTGTTGTGCATTCACAGAATGTAATGAAACTGTAAAAACCCATATAAACAATAGCGTATTAGTCTACTGAAACACAAAGACTGAGGAAGTCATGAGAACAATATGAAGTTGTTTTCTGAACTTGGCTCATCACTTTTAGGCTCCACGGGTTGGATTAGTCTGGGATCTGAGGAATGGAAAACGACAAGCTGTAGAGAAATCTCTCCAAAGAAGAAACTTGCCAATCTTGCGGTTTCTCTAAAGAATATATCAAAGCCTATGCTGTGCTGTCAAAGTAGGGATTTCTCTTTGAACAGCCGAACATCAACTTAACCACTGATTCTCAGATTTTTCCCACTTGACTCTTGAGTGTTACCAAGAGCGCAAAGTTCCTCTGGCTAGAAGTTGCTTGCTTTCCTTGTTTGATATATGGTGTTCACAATTTTCCACAGAGTAATTTTAATGTGGGTTTGTTGTTTATCTTAATCAAATAGCAAAGACTTGACTGTTATCCCACTGCAATGTTATTGTCAAGTTTGAATAGTTAATGAGATTTAATGGTTAGAATCCCCCCCCCACTTACTCTCTTCCTTTGGCAGATTTGTTGGATGTTTTAAGAAGACATTGTCACACTTGGCTGATAGAACTGAGTGCTTTTTATCCACCTTTGATGATCTTGTTTTGCATCTACAGGAGGCTGCTATCATGGAGGGCGAAAGTGTAATTGGTTTGAGCCCAAATAATACTGAGACTATAATTGGAAGTTCATTTGGAGCTAAATTAGACCTGTTATTCACAGGTCCATCTTTCCTTCCTGTTTGTTTGAGTGTATCACCAGCAATTGAGTTTCTGATGTTCCATGTAGGGACACGCCGATTTAATAGCCGCTCGCCAACACCGACCTTGTTGTCACCATATCAACAAATAAAATGACATTTTCTGATGTCAGTGGCCGATGTTTACCTGTGGTCACATTAATTTACCGGCAAAGTGATCCAAGATGGTGTGCTGAAGGGAAATTTTTAATGTTAATAAACTAATAAACAATAAAAAACAGGTAAATAAAAACAAAAGTAGGTTCTTGTACAAAGCTACACTCATATTAGCCCAGAATTTCTTGCGCATTTATGTTGAGTGAAATGACCTCAAATGCTTTCGAGACCCAGATTAACCCAGGTGTGCCTGACCAAAATGTTAATGTGTATGTTGGCAGCTGGCATCGGGCATCTACAGCTTTGCATGCTCCCTGTGGAGCCATCACACAGACTGCTTCCTCCAGCAGATCTACGCCAGAGATGAGGCTGCGGCACTCAGCTCGCTGGAGAGGACACTACTCTCTCTTAAAGGTAGCAACACTTGCACAGACACATGCACGCATGCCACAAACCTGCATTATCATGCAAAGACATGCAGTCACCTATTAGCACAACATGGTAATCTAATCGTCATGATCCCACCATTTGATTAAAAACATAGATAATTGAACATGCAAACATGGAAGTATTAATATATGCAGCTACTTAGTGAAACACTAATTATGAGGAGATGTTGAATATAGTTAATTTTTAATTAGTGAAAATCCTGCATAGTGATGTTTTTTGTGCTCCTTTTAGTGCTTCGCAAACTGACAGTCCATGGATTTCAAGAGCCACAACAGAATATGGAAGTAATGGTGAGTCTCAAGTTATTTCAGCTGTGGCTGCTTTAGTACCTCTCATATTTGGGAAAAGCTGATATTTTTCTGTTGGTGTTTTGGGTCAAAAACGACTCCAATCACAGCGTGCAAAATATGGATGGCCACAATGATTGAAAGTGCCTTGAGCCTTGTCTCGGTTCAAAGAGTCCGGAGCTCTTCTCTCACTTCTAGTGTGAAGAAAGTTTGACTCCATGAAACTGTTAATTCAATTTAGTTTAAATCTGGTTTAAAAAAAATCTTTAGCATGTGCCTGGATAGGGCTTTGGTTTCCTCATGGCTCAGAGTTAATGGAATCATTTGCACAAACTGTCCCAGTTCTTTGAACTCCAGTTTCATATTCTGAGTATCTCCTGTTTGGTGAAAGAATAATAATGAATGCTGAACAAGAATAATTGATAAACCATGTTCCTGGTTATTTTTTGAAGGATTAAGGCTTTTTGAATTTGATTTTAGCCAAGAAAATTCATGCTTGGAATTTTAATGTATTTTAAGTACCAAAATAAAATGGAAAACATTTTGGTGCATTTACCTGTTCTGTACCTAAACGAATTGTATCTTGAGCACATTGTACAGTCCTATAATGCTGCTAACTATACTGACGATAATTATTTTTTTATCAGATAACCTTTTCAGTATAGCAAATTGAATGCACTTAGGACTAAATTATCTACTAATGCAGTGAAAAAATAGATATAAACCTTTTAGGCTTACTGATTTAAAGCTTTCAGGTGCTACTTAACATTCAGTGAAGGTAAGTGCTCTTGAGGGTCTGAAAAAAAATTACCTGAAATCGCTATACTGTATATGTAGGCAAGTGAAAAGAACATAAATGAATTCCATGTAAAACTGTGATGAGCAGTATTTCTTATTTTCCTGGATTTATGCTTTTTTTCACCTAAAGGATGCCAGCACTGGTATAACCTGTGGGCTGAAATATATAACAATATAGCCTCGGACAGATGTGACCTCATCAGATTTTTCATTAAAAAAACAACAACAACAAAACTTCTCAGTTTTTGTTTATCTTCTGTGAATTTTAACTCATAGTAAAATGTACATTTGTTACATAGTCATACACACAGTGTGATTAAATTGACAGATCCCAAACTGTTGTATTTTTGTTCTCTGGTCTTTTTTTGAAAGCACTGAGTAATCATCTATGGTACAGGCTGGAAAATGTTAGTGAACCTCTGTGTTAATGACTTCCCCAAAAGCTATTTGGAGTCAGGGTTTCCAATTAAGTAGATTAGATTGGAGGTGCGGGTCGTATGTTGTTGCACTCTGTGAAAGTAAAGGCAGTCAGTAACAACTTTGACATTAAAGATATGCTTGAAGCTATCCTGAATTGCTGGCTATTAGTAATTTATGATATACAAATATATAGGTTCTGTCAATCTATTAAAGCCAGAACAACTGAAAATTAAAAATAAATGTTAGTTGCCAAAGGGGAATTCAGTTTGTCCTTTTGTCTTTGATACAATGTAAGTCGTCACAAAAGGTCAACGAGTCATTAACATTAAAAATGTGGTCTGTTGTTGCTGTGCCGTTTCTGTCTTTGTGCTTCTGCTGTTATGTTTCTGTCATTTCTGATTTTTATTGCTTTATTTGTTTTTTTATGCTTGTAGATGGCAAGGACATTTTTATGACAGAAAAAAATGTTTACTGCGCCCCGTTTCTCCACTAATGAGACGACAACTTAGCCTCCAGGCTGAAGGTTATAAGATGGTCACAATATTTTCATTAAACGGATGTTTGCCTCATGCTTTCACTGGTTATTCCAGCTCATTGTAGTGTTTTAAAGTAAATATTTCATATTTAATTTACATTGTTGCTTTTCTTAGTAATTACTACTTTAATAGCTGTTTTCATTCTCCTGGTGCTGAATAAACACAGGAATATGCCTACCTTGAATCTACTTAGGCAACCATGTTTTAATATAACTCACTATGTTAAAATCAAGTTCTTTAAAAATATTAATATTAGGCTCCAAGTGTGCACTGGAAGAAGTTCTGTAATCTTTTAAAAATAATTAGGCGTTGAAGGTTCTCACAGAAACAAGTAAACAACATAATGCCATTATGACTAAGCACAGAGTAACTATCGTAAACTGTTTAATGCTGTATTTACACTTGGAAAAACAGTGGTTCGAACCTGACATGACAAAAAGGATTGCCATTGTGTGCAATGATCTTGTTGCCTTTCAAATGATTGCTGAAAAGATGGGGACCAGGTCTGCAACTACTCACAGTGAGGTGCAGTCTTGTGATTGAATGGGGTCAAATTTGCAATCTGCTTGTGATAAGTAAAATTGGCAAAATCCTTTGTAAACGTGTTGCCGTCTACATACGCAGAAGTTCACATTAACTACCACATTAATTACTTACATTCAGAGTCCAGCCAGAGTCTTGTAGATCTCAAAGAGAATTCCCTCCTCTGATAGGGATGTAGCTGCTGTGGATGGAGATTGATCTACAGAATGATATGGGCACTCAGCAGTCTTGCTTTTACAGTATATAGGAATATAATCGGAAAACAACCAGTTAGCAACCATTTGAGTCGACTCCCCTGTTGCACAGAGATGCGTCATAGCCAAGTTGTGCTTATTGGAGCAGACTGTCTCACATTGATTGCAATGTGTTGGCAATGGCAATTATTTGAAAAGCTGTCTGAGAGTAATTGCAGTGAGTCTGAGTCAGACCCTTGATTGTTTGGAGACAAAAGAAAATGTTTCCTTTTTCCAAAATTTTATTCCTTTCTTTTTATTGGACATAACTTAAAGTTAATGTTGGGGGAAAAGAGCTGATTCAGAGTGGGTAATGTCTCTTAAATCAATTAAAAAAAACAGTTAATAAGAAATTACCTTTTTTTCTGAATAGAAAACTTATAGTTATTCACTCTTTTGCCACGTGTTAAACTTTTTAAACCTCAGCTCAAAAGACTGATGGGCAATTGTCACTACCACGTGGGCGGGCGGCATGGACACGCAAGTTTGTGAGTATGATAACTCAAGAATAAGTGCACTGAGGAGTTTCAATTGATGTCATAGGTGTGTCTATTAGAAGGCTGAGGGGTAGCACTGGCAGTTGCCAGTATTTTTTTAAATTGTATCTAGTAACAGGAGTCTAATTTAAATTGTTTTGAATGTTTTTAGCTACTGCTCCATGTTTTTTATTGAAGTTTGTCAGAGAGTTGTGATGGTTTATGGATGTGTCATGCTTATGTGTTGATTAGTTCTTTAAGAATTTGATGAGTTGTCACCTCTCATTTTGCTCTTCCTTTGATGATGGGTGTGATGATGAAGAAAACCCTTTTAATTCATATTGCATGATCTAATTTCCAGTTCCCTTTCAAGGTCATGTTTCTGTCAGGAACTGAAATGAAGTGTCTGTAGGTTACTGGGTTGCTTGAGTTGCTTCAATGATTTTGATAGCTGATGTGTGTCAAATGTTCTATAACAAAATAATAAGAATCATGCTATAAGATGAGCCTGATATTATGTGTATAAAGGACACCGTTTATATACTATAACTTACGTTGATTGAGCACCTTTTCACATAATAATAAAACTGTAACCCTTGAAAATTTCTAGTTTTCTTTCAGATTTTAAGTCATCAGTAACAGATAAACTAATGCTGCTCGTTCCTGTCAGTCTACATTCTAGACATTTAATTTGTACTGTTTTGCTCAGGCATTATTATTACCCAACAATAGCTATGAACCAAAAAAAGACTTCTTTTTTTTTTTTTAATTTGTTGTGACACTCGGTTTTAACTAGGTCCTCTTCTTATGAAGTTATGAGGGCTCAAAAATACTGAAAAAATGAAAAAAAGAAATACAGCAAAAATTCAACCCATTCATAGCTTGATGTTATAATTCTGCATTGTTTTATTAAATATACAAAAGTTGGTATAAAAAAAACAAAATAAAACAGTTAGCCACTTATGAAGTGGTCAGGAACTGACTGACTTTACATAGAATGATCCTAAAAGGCTTGGTTAGTTGGTCTTGCTGTAGTGCTCACTGAATATAGAGACTAATTTCTTTGTTCTCCTCATACAATAGTGTGGATTTGTTTTTGCTTCCAAGGAACAAAACGAAGTGGTGTTGAGAAATAGCTCTGCAGGCTTTGTGAAGGTCTTTGAAAGTTTTTCTTTGGACACTTTCTTTTTTGGTCATTTTCAGTCCAGTTCAGTCCAGTCCTTGTACCTGACCATTTTCAGAGGAGGTATTTTTGTTAAAGCCACTTAACGCTGACCTCTGAATCATTCAAGCTTTAAAAAACACCTAATTCAAGGGATCAACTAGTGTTGTGCTATACAAATAAATTTGATTTGATTTGTGTCTACACATGACAGATAGGATAGCGAAGAACAAATTTTAAATTGTGTCTTTTACTGAAAGCACATAATTTGTTTCCATTTATTTAGTTCAGTGCATAAAACACCCCACCAAAGATGACAAACTAATATTTTTGCACCAATAAGGTGATTCCCAAAGAGCAATTAGCTGAAAACATGATATATCATGGCATGGTGTGCAGTGCCCTAAAAACAAACAAACAAAAAACTGGTTCAAGTGGATGATAAAAGAAGTGAGAAATGGATCTGACCTTTCAGCTGATCCATCTACTGTTCACTGAAGCTTCAACAAAAATGGTCTCAGTTGAGGGGTGATAATCAAGAAGCCATTTGAAAGGAAGGGAAATAGGAAGAAAAGGTTTGAGGTATGACAAATTGCACAAGAACTATACTGAAAATGAGTTCTAACTGGCAACAGGTCTTATGGAGTGATAAATGCGAACTTGAATTTTTTTTAGTTTAGATTGATGTCAGTATCTACAGGGGAGACCGAGAGAGGTACAGCACTGAGTGTGTACAGTAAAACACAGTGGAGGCTTTGTGGAGGATCCACCATCAAATACTGTCTGGAAAATGTTGTTGGTAGGCAATAGCTTCATTCTTCAGCATGGGGGTTAT